ATATATATATATATATCCCAACTTAATTCTCAGAGATACACTGTTTACTTTTTCAGACAGAGCCCAACGTCATTGTTTCGGTGTCTGTGTGCATGCATGGCTGCACATGGGAATGCACATAGAGGTCAGAGGTTGACGTTGAGAGTCTTCCACTGTTGCTTTCCAGCTTATTTTTTGAGACAGAGTCTCTCACTGAACCTAGAGCTCATGGACTAGTTAGACCGTCTGGCCAGTGAAGCATCTCCTCCCACTCCAGACAGAGCCCAACGTCATTGTTTCGGTGTCTGTGTGCATGCATGGCTGCACATGGGAATGCACATAGAGGTCAGAGGTTGACGTTGAGAGTCTTCCACTGTTGCTTTCCAGCTTATTTTTTGAGACAGAGTCTCTCACTGAACCTAGAGCTCATGGACTAGTTAGACCGTCTGGCCAGTGAAGCATCTCCTCCCACTCCCTTCATCCTCCTGTCTCCACCTGCTCTGTTTTGGGATCACAAGCACATGCCACCCAGCCCTTTTTTTTAAAAAAAAAAATGTGTACCTGGGCACTGGAACTCAGATCTTTGTGCTTTTGTAGCAATTACTGTGTTCACTGAGACACAACAGGAGCACGGCAGAGCCCAACTTGATGAGATTTTGATGGGAAAGTTTCCTGGAAGGTCTTTCAACGGTGAATGGTTCACTTCTTTGAGGACCTGCTGTTTTTCTGCCTTGTTTAACGTGTCTTTGGAGCATCAAACTAAATCTCTGACCAAGAATAATTTGAAAGGAAACAAAATGAATCACACTCCTGGCACCGGATTGTAATCTTTTTATGCTAGAGAGAACCAGGGGTTCTCTGGGAGATATGGGAGATTCTGAGTCTGAGGCAAGAAATTACGCTAAGATGAACCTGAAATGTCTAGGCATACTTTATAGAAAATAAGCTGTTAAAAAGACATTAATAGTTTTATGCTCAAAGGATCCAGGAGCCATTTGAAGTCTCCCACTGGTCAGGAGACAGTTGGAACATTGTTCAGAGTAGTTTCAGGGACTAGGTATGGTAGCACATGCCTTTAATCCCAGGCAGAGGCAGGCAGCACTCTTGAGTTTGAGTCCAGCCTGGTCTACATACAGAATTCAGCCCAGCTGGGGACACATAGTGAAACCCTGTCTCAAAAAAAGAAAAAAGTTTCAGTGGATTTAAATATACTAATATGAAATAATTTGTAGCTGTTGGGAAGATGTAATCTTGAAAACAGAGCTGAGGTGTTTTTCTCCCTTTGCTGTGTAAACTATAACTTTGGATATAAGAGAGAAGCTACTCTTTGCAGAAATACGCAAGAGAAAGGAAGGAATGATAAATTACTCTACAAAAATCTTAGTGAACTCCGGGATACAAGCAGTGCTCATTAGTACCTGCTAGCATTACAGAAAAACAGCCAGATACTATATGTCCCCTGATGGAGTAATACAGCACTGCATGGGAAGGATTGCCTAAGGAGCAGAGCCTGCAGCTCATCAATTCTTTAGACTGAGCTGCCCATTTATATGAAATGCAGAAGACTGCAGTTTTTTACATTACTTCTTGATAAAGCCATCAAATTCAGACTTTGAAAAAGCCTTTTGGTGGTAATCAATTTGCATATAAAATGATAAGCCAAAAATTTCCCTCAAAATAGCATCAAAAGAAACTTAAATCAGGTGGCACAAAGAGCCAGATTGGCCGTGGATTGCTGATTTGGGAGTTGAGTGATTGGTGTATTTGAGTTTATTAACTGCTTCTTGTATGTTCAAAGTGTCCATAACATTTTTTTAAAAGTAGGATAAGAAGATAGAAGCATTGGGAAGAACCACCATTGCCTCACTTTCCTGATGACTTTTTTTTCGTTAGTATAACTTTTGCATGTGAACATGCTTTTTTGTTTACTAGGCATATGCCATTCTTTCCCTGCCATTTTTAACTAACAACTATTTATTTTACTTTATGTGGCTTTCCTAGTAATTCTTGATGTGTCATACATACTTTGCTTTTGTGTATTTGGCAAGGTAGAGTAATATGTTTCAGGACTTCTGTTCTCCTTTAGGTTATACTGGTTGAATTAAAGTACTTTATTAGTCTATGTCACCATTGGTATCTATTACTATATAGAACTTTGGGTAGCCCTAAATTATTTGTCAGTTGTTCTTAATAATATTTCTTCTACTTGCTGCTTGAAATACTATGATAGAAGACTTCTCACCCTTGACCTTTTTCTTATAAAAACATTAGTTTGGGCTGGAGATAATAGCTCCGTTAAAGTACTTATCTAACAAGCACTTATCTAACAAGCATACACAGAGTCCTGAGTTTTATACCCACAACTCCATAAAACTGGGTCTGCACTCAAGTGAAGGTCAGGGATCAGAAATTCAAGGTCGTCCTTGGTTACATGGTAGTGAGTTCAAGCTAGCCTGGGCTGTGTGAGACCCTGTCTCAAAAACGCCATTATTTTATTTTTTGTTGATACTGGGATACAAACCTGGGAGCTATACTGCTAGTTCAAAATTTTAAAATCAAGATTTTTAAAATTAATTTTTAAGCTTTTAGCCTTTTATGTTCCATACTTTAGTAAATGTTTTAGCAATTTCCAGAGATCTAAAGAGCTTTTAATAATTACAAAGCCATTCTTTAAAGTGACTGTTGGAATTTATAATCTTTTTTCCCTCATCTGAATTTCTCTATGAAGTTGTGGCTGCCATAGACAGAAAGCGCAATGATGCTTTCTTGCATGCAACTTGAAATCCTTTTTAAAAAAGATTTATTTTTTAAAAAAAATAAAGTTGACTCAGCAGTTAAGAGCAATGGCTGCTCTTGCAGAGGACTGAGGTTCAATTCCTAGCACCCATATGACAGCTCACTGTCTATAACTCCAGTTCCAGGGAAATCCGATACCCTCTTCTGGCCTCCATGGACATTGCATGACATCAGTGCACTTACAGACATGCAGGCAGTACACTAATACACATAAAATAATAAAAGATATTTTAAAAGATTTATTTTTAATTGTGTGTGTGTGTGTTGGTATATGCTTGTGAGTGCAGGTGCCTTCAGAGGCCAGAAGAGGGCATTGGCTCCCCTGGAGTTGGAGTTATAGGTGGTTGTGAGCTGCCTGATATGAGTTCTGGAAACCAAACTTGGCTCTTCTGCAAAAGCAGTATGCTGTCTTAACTGCTGTATCTCTCCAACTCTAATCTTTTAAATTTTTTAAAAAAAAATTGTGTGTGTGCATGCTAGGGCACAAACATGGAGGTCAGAGGACAACTAGTGGAGTTGGTTCTTTCCTTTTCAACTTTATGTGGGTTCCAGGACTCAAACTCTAGTCTCTAGGCTTTCATGCAAATGCTTTACCTGCTGAGACATCTTGTTTGTGCTGTAACTTACTAAAACATTTTTTTTAAGTTTATTTTAATTTTATGTGTTTAAGTGTTTTTGCCTGCATGTATGTAAGCATATCATGTATATGCAGTGCCTGTGGAGGCCAGAAGAGGGCATTAGATCCTCTGGAACTGGAGTTACAGATGGTTGTTAGCTTCCATGTGGGTGCTGGGCACTGAACCTGGGTCTTGTACAAGAGTAGCCAGTGCTCTTAACCCCTGAGTCATCTCTCCAGTCCCTGGCCTGTATAGTATTATAAGCACTGTTTGGCATTTTACAATCCTCATTAATACCTGTTATTAGTGAACTTACTAGTTTTTTTGTGAATTTAGTAGCTGTAATGTGGTCTCTGGCTTTGGTATAATTCGGTAAAAAATACCTTCTTCCCAAACTTCAGCTTCTCAGTGACATAGCGCCTTCTCTCTGTTGCAAACGCAAAGTTACCACTGATTAGCCAATCACTTCTCAGTGTTCAATGACAGAGGCTTGTATTAAGAGGAACATGTTGCCTTAAGATAATGAAGATAATGGAGTTTCTGTTTTTCTCAAGAACTAAAATGAAATTCTTACATTGTATTACATACAGTAAAAAGCCCACAGTGCCAGACAGAATATTTGCCACTTCATTTTGTATTCTCTGATTTTCCTTTTCTAGGTTGCGTGCTCTGTCCAGTGGTGGGAGTATTACATCCCCTCCTCTTTCTCCAGCATTGCCGAAGTATAAATTAGCAGATTATCGTTATGGCAGAGAAGAAATGTTAGCACTTTTCCTTAAAGACAACAAGGTAAGAAATAGGGGGAAAGTTCAGGGTTGTGGATGAGACTTGGAGTATGGACAGTGATACTCAACACGTGTTGTTGATCCCTGCTTTTTTTTTCCTCCTTACCCATACCTGTGTTGAAACCCAGGTTATTAATAGTGGCTGTGGGTGTGATGTACTCTGTCCTTAGAGAAAAATCTACAATGTCATTATGGGAACAGGTGGCTGATTGGTTACAGAATAGTCAGCACTTAATGCCTTCTTTAGATAATTCCACTTCTCTATTTCTGTCCCAAAGTAAAGGTGTTCTTCCTTTTCATTGAACTTATCTTTCGTTCAAGTTAGACTCAAGGAGTAAGGGGAGGAACAACTTTCCTGTTCTTGTCCTTGTTAAGTTCCAAGTTTTCTTTTTTTGTTTTGTTTTTTTGGTCTTTTTGAGACAGGGTCTCCCTGTAGCCCCAGCTGTCCTGGAACTCACTGTGTAGACCAGACTGGCCTCGAACTCACAAAGATCTGCCTGCTTCTTAAAAATTAATTTTTTTTCATCATTTATAAATGACCAAGATGTGAGACACTATAAAGTAGACTTTTATTATCTGACTAGGGAAAACGATACTTATTTTTCTCTATATTTTGTTTTTAATTTATTAATGAATGGAGACTCTCATATTGTAGTGATGGTTGCTAAGGACATACAGTTGCTATGAACCTTTCCTTACCATCTGCTTTGAGTTAAATATGGAGGTTTATACTGCTCCACTGTGCACTTTGAATCCCAGAGTTAATGCCAAATCCAAAAGTAGAGGTTTCATGGGAGGGGAGAGAGTATGACTATAGTTTTAATATTTGACAATCTCAAAATATGTAAGTAGTATGTAATTAACAGAAGTTAATTATAGTTGGATAAACTAATCTGTGTTTATAAAAAGCAGTAGATGAACAGAAGTGCATTTTTTTTTTAGTTTTAGAAATAGTATTTATCTCATGGTCATGTATTTGTTACTGTGCAGATACCTTCAGACCTTTTGGATAAAGAATTTCTGCCTATCCTACAGGAGGAGCCCCTGCCGCCATTGGCTCTAGTGCCCTTTACAGAAGAAGAACAGGTTTGTGCTTAGCTCTGTCTGAACCTCAGCTCCAACCCTTGTTTCTCCTGCTAAGGCATAAAATTAGAAAGCTTTGTGTTATTTGCTTTTCTGTTGCTGTGATAAGACACCTTGTCCAAAGCAACTTAATAGAAGAAAGAGTTTATTTGGCTTACTGTTCCAGAGCACTAAAAGTCCTTCATGATGGGGAAGGCAGGACAGGAGGCAGCTGGAGCCAGAAACTGAGCACTCACATCTTCAAGTAGGCATAGGAAGCAGGGGGATGGAGGGAAGAAACTGCAGTGGGATGTGGCTATGAGCTCTCAGAGCCCACCCCTAGTAATGTGCTTCTCCAGCAAATCTATATGGGGGTGGGGGGAGTGTCCTTTAAACCATCACAGCTTCTATTAAGGCCCTCAGGATTGCACAGGTTGGCTTTTTACTGTTACTTGGCATGTGGATGATTTTCAGTTGTTTAGGTTTTGCTTTGCTTTAGATTCTGAAGTTGTTGAGTATTATGTAGAGTTCAGAAATTGTTTCTAGATCTTTAAGGACAATAGAAACTACCTCTTAGTAGAGGGGGACTGTTCTTTCCACCACACACGTCCACAAGAAGGGGGGAACAGTCATCGTTGTAGTAAAGCATTATTTTTCAGAATTAATCACCTACATGAATTCTTACCAGTGAATTTATTTTACCACAAGAGAAAAAATGTAGATCTTAAGCTCAAAACATACCTGAAACTCTTTTATCACCACTGTGTGCCTGTGGGTCTGCGTGTGTGTGTGTGTGTGTGTGTGTGTGTGTGTGTGTGTGTGTTGTGAGAAAGTAAGGTTTTTAGCCTGAAAAGTGGCAGATTTTGTGATGACAGTTCATTGGTGCTATGTCCTGTGGGAAGACAGATAAGATTGCTTCCAGGGAGCTATTAGATACTGCACTGTAGTGGAGAAATGATTAACTTTTTGGAATTCCATTTTAAAATGAGGAATCACCTCGATGTTGGTGGGGTTTTTTTTGGGGGGGGGGTCTTTTTGAGACAGGGTCTCCCTGTAGCCCCAGCTGGCCTGGAACTCACTATGTAGACCAGGCTGGCCTTGAACTCACAGACATCCGCCTTCCCCTGCCTCCCAAGTGCTGGGATTAAAGGTGTGCACCACCACGCCCGGCGATGTTTTTTTGAAGCGTAGGGTTGGCCCTGAACTTGATGTGTAGCCAAGGATGACCTTGCTCTTTTTCTTTTCGGGAAACGAGGTCTCGCTATGAAGTCCTGGCCAGCCTGGAATTTACTTTGGACACCAAGCTGTCCTTGATCTCTATGAGATCCACCTGCCTCTGCATTTGGAGTGCTTTGATTAAAGGTGTGTGCCATCTTACCCAGTGATCTCAAACTCATGATCATCCTATCATCACCTCTAAGTGCTGAGATTATAGGCATTTGGCACTATGCCTACATTTTCATGATGTTGTAGATCAAACCCAGGGCTTCATGAATGCTAGGTGAGCACTGTACCAACGGAGCTATATGTCCAGCCATTTGACTTACTTTTTTAAAAAAACAGCTTTGAGACGTAATTCATGTCATAAAATTGACTTAATTTTTATAAAATTGCTTATTATTTATATTTTATGTGTATGAGTGTATTGCCTGCACCCATGAGTGCATCCATGTTGTGTAGTGCCCAAGGAGAACAGAAGAGGGGATTGGATTCCTTGGAACTGGAGTTACTGATGGTTGTTAGCTACCATGTGGGTGCTTTGATTCAAACCCAGGTCTTTATAAGAATAGCCAGTGTTCTTAACTGCTGAGCCATCTCTCTAGCCCCTGACATGTTTTTTTTGTTTGTTTGTTTGTTTGTTTTGAGATAGAGTCTCAGTTTAGCCTAGACTGTCCTTGAACTCACTATGTAACTGAATTCTCAGCTTGACCTTGAACTGTATCTATCTCCCAAGTGCTGGGATTATAGGCATTCACCTCTATGTCCATTGAAATTCATATGTGTGTGTGTGTGTGTGTGTGTGTGTGTGTGTGTGCGCGCGCGCACGCACGTGAATCAGAAGATAAACCCAGGTGTCAGTCCTTGCCTTGCCTGTTCTCCTGTTCACTGCTGTATATACCAGGCTAGCTGGTCCAAGAGCTTCTGGCATTCTCCTGTCTCCACTTCCTATCTCACCATAGGAGTGCTGGGATTACAGACATGCTTTCTGGCTTTATGTGGGTTCTGGGGATCTGAATTCAGATCCTCACACTTGGCTGGCAAAGGCTTTATTCACTGAGCCCTCTTTTGCAGTGTTGCAGATTAGATCTAGGACCTTCTCCATACTCAACAAGCACTCTGTCAAGCTTCATGGTTGTTGAGGTTACTGTATCCTCCCATCAGCACCTTCTGACAGATTCCATTTCCATTAAGCTCTTCTAGTTCTTGGGTTTGAAACTTTGGCCAAAGTGAATGGTGGTGACAGGTTTATGTGTGTGTGTCTGCATGTTTGATAGTTGTTTAAATTTGCATTTCATTAGTTACTAGTGATACTGAGTATCTTTTCATGTGTTTATGGAACATTGTGGGTTTCTTTTTCTTTGTTTATGTCCTGTGCCCATTATTCTGTTGTTTTATGATTTCTTTATATGATCTTTAAAATCAGTAAATTAGTTATTATTGAAGTTATTTATATTGTAGGAAACAAAGTTATAAAGAATAAACTCATCCATGTCAAGAATAATTGCTTGTTAACATTTAATGTGGTTTATTGCATTTTATTTTGTTTATGTATTTTTAGTGATTAAAATATACCAATATAGATTGGATCCAGTAACATATTAAAAATACTATGTACAATGACCAAGTGGAATTTATCCCTGGAATGCAAGGGGTAGTTCGACTTAGTCATAAATACCCTATCTTTAGAATGAAGGACACAAAATACTTGTTCATCCCAATTGGTGCAGAAATGTAACTCAGTATCCTTTCATGATAAAGCTCTAAACATTACAAGAGTACTTCTCATGATTAATGGCATTTATGAAAATCCCACAGCTAATCTCATGTTCAATGATAAGATACCATGGCAAAGCTTTGTCCTAAGATCAGGAAGATGACACTGATTCTTACCATGACTGTCAGAACTTCATTGGAAGTAATAGAAAGAAATAAAAGTTTGTTAGAAGGGAAGAAATGAAAAGAACTGTTTCTGCTTGACACAATCTTATATATAGAAAGTTTCAAAGGATCCACACATGTAATAAAAATAATTCAGAAGGTTGCACAACTATCAGTTGCATTTTTATACACTAGCAATGATAACCCACAAAATAAATTAAAATGGGACTTTAGAAATGGCTCAGTGGTTAAGTGTGAGTACTGCTCTCCAGGGGACCTGAGTTCAGTTCTCAGCACCTACATCAGGCAGCTCATAACCGCCTGTAACTCCAGCTCCAGACGATCAAATGTCTCTGGCCTCTATGGGTACCTGCACTCACCTACCTATACCCCTCTCTAATACACACAATTTAAAAAAAAATTTTTTAGCTAAGCGCAGCGGTGCATATCTTTAGTCCCAGAACTCAGGAGGCAGAGGCAGGCTAATCTCTGTGAGTTCAAGGCCAGCCTCTTTGTAGCCCAGCTGCAGGTCAGCTGAGGCTACAGGGAGACCCTGTCTCAAAAAGACCCCCCCCAATATATATATATATATATATATATATATATATATATATATGTATGTATGTATTAAAATTATGAGAATTCTATTAACAATAAAAGAATAAAATAGGTATAAGTATTTAAAATTTATCCATTTTTCATGTGTGGTTGTGGTATGGTATGCATGTTTATGAATGTTTTTTGCGTTTGTGTGTGTATGTGTGTGTTCATGTACATAGAAGCCTGGGGTTGGTATAGGGAATCCTTTTCCACAGCTCTTCCACTTAAAAAAAAAATTTTATGTGTATGAGTGTTTGGCCTGCATATATGTAACTGCATCCCTGCACCCAAACCTGAAAAGGCCAGGAGAGGGCATCAGAGTCCCTGGAACTGGAGTTGGATGGTTGTTAGCTGCCATGTTGGTGATGGGAAGTGAATCCAGGTGCTCTGGTAAAGCAGCCAGTGCTCTTAACTGCTGTGTCCTCTCCAGTCCTTTTCCATCTTACTTACTGAGGCATGGCTTCTCAGTCAAACTCAGAGCTCACCAATATGGCTAGTCGACTTGCTCTGTGAATCCCCTCTGTGCCTTCTGAGACTTCTGGAATTACAGGTGGGATGCCACACACACCTGGCATTTATGTGGGTTTCTGGAGGTCTGAACTCTGGTTCTCATGCTTGTGTGACAAGTGCTTTAAGTCCTGAGCCATCTCCCCAACCCTAGGTGTGAATTTAAGGAGGTGTAAGACAAAATTCTCACACTGAAAACAACATAGCACCATTGAAAGATTAATGGAGTCTTAAATAAGTGGAAGGCATCCACACTTACTAGTTGGAGGACTTGATACTGTGAAGAGGGTAGCACCTCCCTAAAATAAGTGAGTGTGGTCCCTACACATTCCAATGCGTTTTTGTGCAGATACAAGCTGACCTAAAATGCTTGTGGCATTGTGGTGAACTCCAGATGGGGAAGCCAATTTTGCAAAAAGTAGTTGAAGGACTTACACTTCTCCCTTTCAAAACTTAATACAAAGCTGCGGTAATCAAAACAGCTTTGCATAAGCACACAAATAGATCAGTGGAATGCAGGTGATAGTCCAGAAGTTAGCTCAAATTGCTCCTCATTGCCAGATTGCTTTCAGGAAGGTATGGATGATGATACCTCTGTTTCATCGCTGCCATAACTCTAGCATTTTACCACTGTTTTTGTTGTGTTAAAATGTTTTCATTTAGTGTTTGTTTTAATTTATTTGTGTATTATTTTTACTTTATGTGTGTTTCCCTGCATGTAAGTGCAACCACATATGCAGTGCCCACAGAGACCAGAAGAGGGTGTCAGATCCTCCAGCACTGGAGCTGTGGATGGTTGTTAGCTGTCATGTGAGTGC